CTGTCCACCTCCTCCGTGCCAGGAAGCTATTTCCAAAGAACCTATCATGATGAAAATTTTATATTGGATTCAGAAAAACTCTTATTCCCATAAAGAAAACCTTCAATTGAATCAGGAGACAGAAGCCATGAAGGAAGAACTGTTGTATTTTAAAGCTAATGGTGGAGGGGCTTTGGTGGAAAACACAACCACTAGGATTAGCCGAGACGTGCAGACATTGAAGACGCTTGCAGAAGAGACTGGCGTCCATATCATATCCGGAGCTGGGTTTTACGTGAATGCAACTCACTCCTCAGAGACCAGAGCCATGTCAGTGGAGCAGCTTACCGATGTCCTTATGAATGAAATTCTCCACGGAGCGGATGGAACCAGTATCGAATGTGGCATTATTGGAGAAATCGGTTGCTCCTGGCCTTTGACTGAGAGTGAAAGAAAGGTTTTCCAGGCAACCGCTCACGCCCAGGCTCAGCTTGGTTGCCCTGTTATTATCCATCCTGGGCGGCACTCCAAGGCACCATTTCAGATTATCCGAATATTGCAAGAAGCAGGTGCAGACATCTCCAAAACAGTCATGTCACACCTGGATAAGTAAGCAGGCTATCTTACAAATGGATGCAAACTGCCATATAATTAATGCATGATCAAATGAAGAATCTATAGTAATCAGGTCAGTGCAATACTAATCGCATAGAGAGAACCCCTAACTACATGGAAGATAGTATTTAAAAAGTTTTACAACTGACATTAATAAAAGTCATTGCTGGCAAAAAAAAAAAAAAAAAAAAAAAAAAAAAAAAAAAAGAGAAAGAAAGACCCAGGCCGGAGTGCAGTAGTGTGATCATGGTTCAATACAACCTCCACTTCCCAGGTTCAAGCAATTCTTGTGCCTCAGCCTCCCTAGCAGCTGGGATTGCAAGTGTGCACAACCATGTCCAGTTAAGTTTTGTAACTTTTGTAGAGATGGTGTTTTGCCATGTTGGCTTGGCTAGTCTTGAACTCCTGGCTTTAAGTGATGACCCTGTCTTGGACTCCCAAAGTGCTGAAATTACAGGCATGAACCATTGCACCTGACTGCATATGTTTATCTATCTACATATCTTATATTTGTATCTAAGTCTACAGAAAAAAGCGTCTGAAAACACCCTGAAATTCGCTTTCAATATACCAGTCTATCTTCAAGTCAGAGAGCTCGTGTTTAATTTTCTTTCCCAAAATGTCACTACTTGAGCACAGAAAACAATAAGATTGTATTTCTGCCTGGCGAGTTGACTCACGCCTCTAATCCCAGCACTTTGGGAGGCCAAGGCCAGCGGACCACATGAGGTCAAGAGTTCAAGACCAGCCTTACTAACATGGAGAAACCCCATGTCTACTAAAAAAACAAAATTAGCTGGGTGTGGTAGCTTGTGCCTGTAATCCCAGGTAACCGGGAGGCGGAGGCACAAGAATTACTTGAACCTGGGAGGCTGACGTCGCAGTGAGCCAAGATCATGCCACCGCAGTCCAGTCTGGGTGACAGAGGGAGACTCTGACTCAAAAAAAAAAAAAAAAAAAAAAAAAACCAGTGTGGCTCATGCCTGTAATCCCAACACTTTGGAAGGCTGAGGCAGGTGGATCACGAGGTCAGGGAGACCAGCCTGACAAACATGGTGAAATCCCTTCTCTACTAAAAATACAAAAATTAACTCAGTGTGGTGGTGCCCACCTGTAGTCTCAGAAAATAAGAGCCCTAAAGTTGAGAGAAGCTTTAAAAAGAATTATTTCTCATTTGCAAATTTTTGTTAAAGCCTTCAAGCTGAGGCTTATTTATACATGTTTTCACATTCACCAGAATAAAAAAGGCCATTTTTGACTTGGCAGTAAATGACTCTCATGATCTTAGTGCATTTTTGCTAACAGATATGAGAAACAAAAACCAATTCTTTCTATGAAAACATTAAACGCAGCAAGATGCAGGTCAGAGCATACCTCCATTTTTGTGCTCTTGTGGATAAAATTTAAAGAGGAAATAAGATTTTTCATTTATTGAAGTTTTTCTTTACATTGCTATAAGTACAAATACCTATTTATCCTTTGACCTCCTATATCTTTATTCTGTATGCATATGGAAAAAATGATAGCTAGATCTGTATATAGGTATACATGGGTAGACAAATACACACATATAGAATTATATGAGTTTGCCTATGTAGATATTCATGTATACAAAAGTTTTTTTTAATATATATATAAAGACGGGGTTTCACCATGTTGGTCAGGCTGGTCTTGAACTCCCGACCTTGGGTGATCTGCCTGCCTTGGCCTCCAAAGTGCTTGGATTACAGGCATAAGCCACCACGCCCGGCCAAAAAAGATATTAATCAACAAACATTTTAAATTCCCCAGCCTACACAGAGGATGCAGATATAAACTTACTCTCACCTATATGGATTCATACCATTTCAGCCTGGAACACAGCCATTCAATGTTATGTTTAAACATCAGCAAAGCTTAATGTTTAGGTGCATGGCCTGGGAAGTAAGCTTTTGGTAAAACCATGTAAGACTCTAGTTCCAGCTTAGCATTTCAGGGCCCTGCTTCCTTTCTCACTGTATACCTATGTTATTCCCATTTGCCATTTGGGTCCTGCCTGGATGCCTTCACTTTCCCAATTTAGCTAATAGACTTATATTCATCTGACCTGATCTAAGTGGCTCATTAAACACATGAAGCCTGCAGAATTTGGGAAGAAAAAAGACCTCTGACCTATTTATTCTGAGGCTTCGCCACAGGACATATGCAATAATGGAAATTACCTTGACATACCTATGTTGCCCATTTTCTGTGTACACGTTTATCTAGCCACCTATCTTTTATCTATATTTATATGCATAAAAAAGACCACCAGGCTGGGCACAGTGGCTCACACCTGTAATTCCACCACTTTGGGAGGCCAAGGTGGGTGAATCACAAGGTCAGCTGTTCAAGACCAGCCTTGTGACCAACATGGTAAAACCCCGTCTCTACTAAAAATACAAAAATTAGCCAGGCGTGGTGGCACACACCTGTAATCTCAACTACTCAGGAGGCTGAGGCAGGAGAATCGCTTGAACCCAGGAGGCAGAGGTTGCAGTGAGCCGACATCACACCACTGCACTCCAGTCTGGGCGACAGAGTGAGACTCTGTCTTAAAAAAAAAAAAATGCCGAAGAAGAGTAGGTCAGAGATAATTTTTATTTTACATTCAGACAAGGTAAATCCAATCAGCTATTAGCTCAGTGAAGATTTATCAAATCCAAGCCACACATCAAATCACGTTGTGCTATATGTGAAAATGTCCTCATTGCTGGGCACCAAGGTGTTTTTAATTCAGAGTCCAATCAAAACATTAGATTAGGGTTCTGTCCATCCAGATAGAAATCTTCAGATATACCAGTGACCCTAATTTTTTTCACAAGGAGCTCTGGCCTGACCGATAAGAACCACCTTTGGTGCTTAAGTGAGGTTTCACGATCACCTATTTGAAATGCAGCCAGGTAACATGTACCATTACATTTGCTTTCAGTATCACAGTCTATCTTCTAATAAGAAACCTGGCCGGGCGCGGTGGCTCAGGCCGGG